AGTCTGTGGGTATTCAGCAGTTTGTCTGTGTGTACTCCGCAGTCTGTCTGTGTGTACTCCGCAGTCTGTGTGAGTGTACTCAGCAGTCTGTGTGTGCGTACTCAGCAGTCTGTGTGTACTCCGCAGTCTGTGTGTGTGTACTCAGCAGTCTGTGTCAGCTTACTCAGCAGTCTGTTTCAGCGTACTCAGCAGTCTGTGTGTGTGTACTATGTGTGTATATTTAGAAGTCTGTGTGTGTATATTTAGCAGTCGGTGTGTGTGTTTTCAGCAGTCTGTGTGTGAATGTGTTCAGCAATCTGTGACTGTTTTCAGCAGTCTGTGTGTATGTATGTATTGCCTTTGTTGGAGGTACCAATAAATATAAGCTTAATTTTATCGATAATTGATACATTTGTTGTGTAGGAAGGTCCCTAGTGCACTGCTTTGCCCGGGGGGGCCCATAACGCTGTTAAGATAACGCTGTTAAGTGTATGTGTGTGTGTATACATACATACATACATACACATACACATGGTGTGTGTTTGTGCTTTAGGGTGCGCATCCTAATGCAATAGGCTGTCCACGCCTATATCTGTGACTGTATAATATCCCAGAATAGTCAGTGCTCCCTGTATAGTGCTGTTCTCTTTATAGTACAGGTCTGTGTATAATATCCCGGGACAGTCAGTGCTCCCTGTATAGTGCTGCTCTTTGTATAATACATGTATAATACCCGCAGACTCCAGGAACTAGAAGAATCAGAAGCAGTGGAGTGGTGACTGAAGCCTTAATCTGAGACATTCAACATGTTGAATTGAGGGCATGAAAAGGGGCTAATGGAATATGTGCATATGTTTTCCTTTTGCTCCCATTTCTCTCATTAATTCCATTCTGTAAATTCTCCTTCTATCTATATATATATATATCTTTCATTTCCTATTTTCAGCTTTTTTTTAAAAAAAATAAATATATTCACTCCACAATATAATTATTTTTATGAACTAATGTATGTTCTATGGTATAGACACAACTCTTTGACTGAAGCACATCAGCACAAGGTCCTTCTATATCTGTACCGACAGTGTCACCACTGATACCCAGCTCACCTAAAAGTGATATAAATGTACCTGCCTGATAATATAGATGCTGTGCTGCAAATGTATGTATCGTATAACAAGAATGCATGGTACTGTTGGTGGGAACTTGGTGTTATATAGGTCTACTCAATAAAGAGAGAATTACAGGGAATTGAGATGGGAATTTCAAACTCTAGGTCGAAACAGTGCAGCTGAATGGGAGAATGTTTCCAACTCGGCTACTTTGGCCTTAAGTTTAAAATTACCATCTCAATTCCCTGTAATTCTCTCTTTATTGAGTAGTCCCTGTAATCTGCACTATAAGTAGGCGGAGATTAACAATGTGGGTTGGACATAGTGGGCGGAGCTTTGCGTCAGTGGGTGTGGTAAATTTCCAAGGTAATAATTAATAGCTGTGCTGCAAAGTGTCCCTGGAATTTTTTTTCAAATGTTGGCAACTATGCTAATGCACATTTTATGGGGCATTAATTTTTGAGTCTAATACTAGCAGGCTCTATCATGAGAATGATACCAATAGCTTTAGAACCAGACAGTTCAAGGGACCAAGTTTCAGTTCTGTGAGGTGGAAGATGGTTCCTTACTTAGTGATGCTACATCAGTGTCTGCGAAAGTAGTGGAGGTGTAGGAGAATTCAGAAAATTAACAGAAAGAAAGCCTAGTGTAGAAAAGAGCCGCCTTTGAAAAGCCGCCTTATCGGCGAAACTGATCGTCCCTCTCTCTGATTCAATTGATTTCAGCCATATTTTGATTCAACATTTGCAGTTGTGTATTTTTGGGAATAACATTTTTTAGTCTCTATAAATATTGATACTGTTAATCTGATTTTTCTTTTTTCAATATATCTCCTTTCCAGCTCCAGATAGCTAGCCAGCACTAACAGTTTTAGCTAGCACAGCAGCTAGATCTATTTGACAGGTGCCCCTGTAAACACATATATACTTACAGGGTGACTATCTCTACAGGTTTCTTTCCACCAGCCAATTTATTTTGTATTAGGCAACCCATTATACAGTTATTTTATGTGATATAGTAAAGTAGATCTTTCTCTTTCTTTTACTATCAGTCTTTAACGCTAAGCAGCACTAATAGATTCTCCAGCATTGCCTATAGCTTAGGCAACGTTTGGAGTTAGCAGACAGACTGGACAACATTTAATTTTGTTTAGCCTTATTATGATAAGCACTTCACAGCTTTGTTGGACCAGCTAAT